ATGGAGGATTTCATCATGAGCTGATGTCAGTTAGATAACTACTGGAAAACCTGGGAGTACTGGATAGTTGTTTCGTCCTAGTTTGGGGCTCTTCATCAGTATGCACCCTCCGGGGTTCGAACCCAGGACCTTCTGGTTACAAGGCAAGCTCGTAAACCATTGAGCCACTGGAAGCCGATCCAACTGTCTTTGAATTCTAACTTCTGGATGCTGATGAAGAGTCCCAAACTAGGACGAAACAGCTGTCCAGTACTACGAGGTTTCCCAGTGGTTCTCTAACTGAGGTCAGCTCATGATGAAATCCTCCATCTAATCAAAAAAAATCCCTACAAAACCAATACTTGAAAATTATTCTGATGCTCACTGGAGACTGGCCCTATTCAGGCAGTTAACCTGGGGTTCTAGTGGGAAGCCGTGACCAGTAGGATACAGCAGGTTGAAGGTGAGGCAGTAACTCATCGAAGAAGACATTGTGAAGTGGTCGCTCTATGTCATGAATTGGCAGAAGTTAGAATTCATGGGCTGGCCATTGAATCGGGTCCCAGTGGCTTAATGGTCTACGAGCTCACTCGCTTTGTAACCAGAAGGTCCTATGTTCAAATCTAAGTGGGTGCGTACCGCCGACGAGTCTCACTCCGGGACAGAACAGCCGTCTAGTACTCCCTGCAGGTTTTGAAATGGTTCTCTAACTGATGTCAGCTGATGATGAAATCCCCCATGCAATCATACAAACCAATTGACACAACTTTGGTGATATTTTGAATCACACATTACTGAGTGAAATATGCTTTGCGGTTCACGTCATTGTGTGTTTTCGTTTAAGTAGTAACGGCTGGGGACACAGGTAGTTGTCGTATAATGTTGTTGGCGTGGTCAGCCGATAGTCATGATCAACGCGTCTGTGTCCAACTTGACGTCTCTGTCTCCCTCTCAAAGCATTGCGAAGCACAAGACTAACACAACCACTCTTCATTCCACAGAACCACATCATCGAATGATCATCTCTTTTTGCTTTTTCCACTCAATTCTAGGGTTAGCAAAGATTCAACAGCATGCGAGCCACTGAGATGAGATTCTTAATACATGTCAAAGCCACCGAAGCTGGTGGGTGCTCAAAGATAACATAACTTGATACTCAACGTGTTCAGATACATGTCGCCTAACCTTAACATCACCTACATGATGACGCCACCAGATGCAAACAAATGTACGGAGGCAGTGATAACCGAAAACGCGGCAGTTGCCACATATTTTCAGGTTTTCCCAGGTGTACAGCAGGACTACGTCCACTAAAAAAGTAATGTAAACCTGACCTTTGACGGCTGGGTCAACGCTATGACAGTGCCAGAAGTGATGTAAGTTGGCATATGCCACCCTGACTTTCACGATACTACTAGAGTGGCCAATTTCTTCATTGCAGTACAAACGCTGCCTAGTGGAATGCTTGTGTTTCAATGTCCCGTGAAATTTTGAGCAAGCGACATATTGATTAATGAACTACAGTGCATAGTACATTTAGTTTCACAGAGTGATTGGTACCCCGAAAATTTCGTTGTTTATCACAGCAAAAAGAAACTACCCTTGGATAGGACAACCTCTGTTAAGAAGAAAGCTTCAACACAACGGTGACTAAACCATGCAGTTGATGGCTCATCGGCCTCGATCAACAATCGAGTTGATACTATACACATCCCTTCTTCTAACTACTAGAACACTTTCTCTTCCTATCCTCACGATTAGAGAATGAAATCCTATTGACTCTGTCACACTGTATCTACAAGGTCCCCTGCAGTTGTGCATGAACGTTCTGATATCATCCGTGGATTATTAAATTCACAAGCAAAACACAAACATACTCAATTTATGTGATATCATCCATCGCAAAGTATTTGCCAATGAATGTTTGGTCATAAAATCAATATTATCGATTATTCTCTCAATTAAGCCATCTCAAAAAGATGAAAAAAAGGGATGAATACCTTATTTTTCCCATTATTCATTGTCGAGTTTCTCGGTTGATCTAAATCCAAAACAAAATTAGCAATTCGACGATCCCATTCAACTGAATCAATCGGGTCAACTAATCGCCATATCAAATCGAAGCGACTTAACAATGGAGTTGGTAGTCCGAAATCTTCACTTCCACTAGCAACAGAACTTGGAGTTGGGTTGGCAGCTGCTAAAACAGAACACCGACAATTAAGTCTAGCCATGAGACCAGCTTTAGCTAAACTAATCGTCTGTTGTTCCATTGCTTCGTGTACTGCAGCACGATGTGCTCCATGCAATGCAGTAAACTCGTCTATAGCACACAAGCCACCATCAGCTAAAACAAGAGCACCAGCATCTAATGTCCAACCGCTAGAATCACGTACAGCTGTAGCAGTTAAACCAGCTGCAGTAGTTCCTGTTGCAGCTGTTAATACGGCTCTTTCACAAAGAGCTGTACAACCACGTAGGAGGACTGATTTCGCTGTGCCAGGATCACCAATAAGTAGAATATGAGGATTTCCTCGAATACGTATGGAGAGTTCATCAACTCCTGTTGAAGATTCACCTATTCAAAAAGAAAATAGTAATAATGAAGTCAAAAATGTTATACTCTGATTACAATTTAAAATTTAGAGAACACAAAATAATTCAGCAAAGAATATCCTTTTCGATAATTTCCTCGTCCTCTGGCTCTACAACTATGTATATATGTTTATATTCATAAAATATTCTAGAATAGTCGTCAATAACGATATTAGTGTTTTTTAAACAATATCGATTTGTAAAGTAAGATCACTGGAATTACAGTTCATTAAAGATGCTTAAATTATAATAATAAAGATATAGTAGCGAATAGAATGTCAACTAAAATTGGGGAAATATCTACAAAAATTCAGAATCATTCAAATCTAGATGGCCAAGGTAAGGATAATGTCTGAACTAACTTCTTTTGGAAGCACAAATTAGGCTTCTTAATATGGATTCCAACAGGCTCAGCAATTATTTTGTGTTTTATAGATGTCTGAATGAATTTAAAATTTGTCTTAAAAAATACAACACTATTTTATAGATAAATGCAGAATCCGAGTGTTGGTTTGTAGGGATTTGATTGGTTACAGGATTTCATCATAAGGTGATATCAGTTACAGAACCATTGGAAAACCTGGCAGGGAGTACTGGACAGCTGTTTCCTCCGTTCTAGTTTGGAACTCTTCTGCAGTACGCACCTACCGCCAAGGTCCGAACCCAGGACCTCCTGGTTACAAGGCGAGCGAGCTCGTAGACCATTTAGCCACTGGGACCCGATCCAATGGCCAGCCCATGAATTCTAACTTCTGCCAGTTCACGACATAGCGCGACCACTAGCCAATGTCTTCGGCGAGTATTCGTCCTCACACCTGTTGAAGAGTCCCAAACTAGGACGAAACAGCTGCCCAGTACTCGCAGATTTTCCAATGGTTCTCTAACTAATGTCAGCTCATGATGAAATCCTGAAATGCAGAATCATTACAATAAGTATAGTCATTATTCATTGTTAGCCTCTACTGGATAGATTCTCTATGTGAACTATTGTAACAGCAGTAGATATATGGAAGATTGTCTGTCAATGATTAGAATGGAGAAGAAACAATAAGGAAAATCAAAAATAACTTAAAATCTCCATTCTAAATAAATAAGAAATAAAACGGAAATATGGCCCACTGATAGAAGAAATTCATAAGAACTATAATGAACAGAAATGTACGGAATAAAGAACAATAACATGGAATGGAAAAAAATAAAAAGAGGATTTAATGGAACTTCAAGATTACAAAGAGTGAGTGTGAATTTCCACCAGTGACAACGATTTTCAGCCATATCATTAATAAGTGATTCAGCGAAGAGACTGCCTTTTCAACGAATTTATTATCAAGCTGTACAGTCGTATACATTTTTTTCCTTCACGTTCCCAGTGGAACATAGGGATTCAAGCTAGTGACTTGAAGTTTCTGTAGCAGTGTTTATTTTTACAGGATGGGGTTGCTAGCCTCATGCCCAACCTTCCCTCTTCACCAGCATTATTTCTGGCTTAGCGAGGTAAAGGAGTGCGTCGGCCGGGGATCGAACCCCAGACCATGTGCATGGTCAGCGAGCGTTCTAACCACTGTGCCACCGACGCACCGTATACATATATATATATGTATATATGGTTTTTTTAAGAAATTATATCCCGTAAGGAAATTTAAACAAAGCTGTGAATACATAAAATAATAGTAGTACGAAATGCAATTAAAATAGTTGTGATTATAATCATAGTTAAATGCCAAGTAGCAAAACAATCAGTGTCATATAGAATAATACACAAGGTGTATAGACGTTGGAAATGGGTGCATAATTACAGGATTAGTAGGCGAATATAAAATGTTACATAATATGGTGTGAAATTTGATGAGATAGAATATTGTGAAAAAAATTTTGAATTTAGAATGACAAACGAGACAAGCAGAAACAATTCAGAGTCAGAATAGTAATAATAATAATAATAGTAATGAGGGAAAGGTGCATAGATTAACTCAACAGAAAAATAATAAATAAATGTCTATCCCTCTACGGTCAAGGTGGAAGTAGGGATCCCGACCAAAAACTGCTAGCTTGACGTGGTGGTCGGGCTTGAACACCGCAATAACCCAACAAGCTATAATGGCTGAGACTTATGTCGCTTGAGGTCCTACCATGCCAGAAAGGTTGTTTGGATAGCGGTTAGACAAAAAGCAGCTACCCAATCCAATACTATGATTCAAACAAACTCACAAAATATCATACCGGATCGGTCGGGACCCGGATTAACAACGACCGCGCTTCCTGCTGCTGTGTCACATGGCAGAAGTGATAAATATGCTACTGAGACACACCAAACAAGAAAGAACAACCAAAAACAGGCCGCGTGTGACCGGCCTCAAGCAGTTGTCCCCTGGGCTCTGCGGTCACGCAACCAACTTCCACGGTGTGGGCAGCCGGGGAAGTAACAATCGCCCTCACAATCCGAAATGCACGCGAAACCTCTCTAATCCTCACTCATCTTTGTCTTCATCTTCATTTCTATTATCTTGCCTTCCTTCTGCTAATGCAACTCCTTTACTTGATGGCTATTCACTTTCTCTTCAGTCTGTGTGCACTGAAAACGATGGATATTCCTTTCTACCATTGCTCATTCTGTTTCACTCTTATACTTATAAAAACTCTATTGATTCTCTTCACTCATTTTCTTGTCTACCTTTGTGTGCTATTTGGAACGTGGCAACTCGAACTGCTGCACTTCGGTGCCAAGTTCTATATTGAATCCAGCCAGCCAGAAGTAGGGATAGTACATACTTTCGTTGTACACAAAGGTCTGGCTTAAATTCATGAATGGCCAAGGCCTCCGATTTCTTTAGGAGTCTGTAACGAAGAAAACGCGTCAAGTTAGCGTGCCTTCGGTAGATAATCTTAAAATCATGGTCAGGGTAGGCAGAATGACAGGAGTCGATCAGATGTTCTAGAATAGGGATTCGCACACACTTCCTTTCTCCTTTGTAAAACCATGCTGGAATATGTTCTCATATCCGTGTGGAAAGCATCCTCTGGCTAGGGCCAATATACCTTGCCTCACAAGAGCAGGTGAACTGATAGATGCACACGGAGGCGGCCAGACGGAAGAGCTTATTTTTTACAGAGATGGAGAACAACTTGCGGCTGGTTAACGTCATTTGTAATTTTGCTGCCAAGAACGTCTTACCGACTGTGATTATAATCACAAATATTTTAATTGCATTTCATACTATTATTATTATTTCATGTATTCACACCTTTGATCAAATTCCCTCCACGGATATAATTTCTTTAGAACTATATATATATATATATATATATATATATATATATATATATATATATATATATTGTTGTATTCATAGGCGGAACCTGTAATGAATTTTAGCTGTTCATGTAATGAATGGGTGATGACTGAAGGCAGCGAAATGAAAATCTGTATCGAGGCAGTATTCGAACTAGCGGCCTCCGAACTACTAATCCAGAGCCCTACCAGCTGAGTTATGACATCCGACTGCAATCATTGTGGATAACGCCCAACCGTCATCTGAATGAAAGATGCGTTACTGTCCATGTATAGTTGGACTACTTTCTCAATCAGGAGTTCTCGTGTCAACCTTAATCAATATCTGGGCATTGCCACTAATGATCGCAATCAAATAATGATCTAACTAGTAGTCGAATCTTGTAAGTGAATTGGTGCAGCGCTGGACCAGTAAATTGCAGGTTGCTGATTTTAATGTTGCATAGACCCAAATTCTTCTCACTTCACTTTCAAACATCTTTGCCAATTACATGTATAAGTTGCATCAAGCCTAATGAACTAATTGCTGACGAAATCTCAACACGGATACAAAAGAATTGTGTGGCATTTGCCAAATTACATTATCTCTCGCGTAAATATGATAACCGGATGTCAATGGAAGGACGTATGAACTGCACCAGTCAGTATATGAGGTTGTGAAACTACATCAATTGAGACGTTAGGACACACGGCAAAGTTCAACAATAGCGTCCCAGAGGATGCGGATGCACGAGGGACTTTCAGCCGACCAATCATAAAAGTGAGAAATGTTTGCTCAAAAAATGATGTATATTGACAAGAAAATGCTTGAAAACGCATTAAACAGGTTATCTTTCTCTGACATGGCTTCAAAGTATGTCCTAATTATAACGAGGAGTATCAGTTGCTAAGTTATACTAGTTTTTGTACATGTATTTACCGAGATGACTACAGATAAACTGTTTTTGCGAATCGTTTATCTCTCTCATCCTGCCTGCAGTATTCCAAAAAAGCCCGCGGTTGAATTATTATGGTTTCCAGCAAGAGGATAGACGACTACTTACCAGGAAGACGTGGATAAGAAAACAAATTAAAATAAATGATATCGACTATAAATCTATCCCTAATCGTAACCATAAGCTTAATCCTGACCCCAACACTAATCCTAACCCTAACGAGCTAGTAACACATTGTCCAAACAGTACTTAAAAACGTGATCTGAGTGAATCTCAGTGAATAGCGTTGATATTTTAGCTTTGATAATGACAGATGCCATCAGCCAATGACTAGCATGTGTTCAAGGTCATTGGAGCGTTCACACTCCTGGGATGCTATTGTTGAACTTCGCCAGACACACGATACGCGCGCTGATCCGTTACCTTTCTCGTTAAGCAACATTAGCTAACAAAGGATTAGGTTGGAAGTGTAACAGAGCGGAGGGGGGGGGGTCAAAACAAAACGCGGAATCAATCCGTGAAGTCTTTCACTATTGGTTTGAGCCACCACCTAAGGTGTAGACTGTCTGGTTAGGGTCCTAGGGAGGTCAAGAAGCAGTGGCCTCAGAGTTCTCCTATTATGGCTCAAAATCATTGTCAAGGGCAAAGATTTATTTACTCTTTGTGATCTGCCATCATTTTCCCTGTTACTAATGTTTCTCTCACACATTACTGCTTATTGTAGTTCATTTCAATCTCTTTTTTCTCTCTTCTTTACCTTTGTGCGGTATATGAAGCGTGGCAACTTGAAGTGGTTTACTTCTGTGCAAAGTTCGGTGTCAAAATTTAGCGATTCAGCCAGACACGAATAACAGTCAGCGAAACCAAAGCTACTTTAGATAGTCTCACCAAAAATTAAAATTGTTCCTTAGATTGAATAAAATCATAGAATTCAATTCCTGAGAAACTAAAAGAAAACAAAATATAGAATCACCCAACAAGTGTTTGTTACCACTTACCGGATGTTGAATGCCATTCAGGTGCACTAGCAAGCATTAACGCCAACGATAATTTAATAAGATACATTCCATATACTTCTGGGCATATACTACGTAGAAGTAAATTTCTAGCTTCTAAAGCTGAACAAAAACTTTTATGCTTATTCCAGTATGCTTCAAATTCTAATACTCTTTCATAAGAGATTTGACTTGGTCCACCGCCTGCTTTAATTTCAGTTAAATTTTCAATATAATTTGCTTTCAAGTAGGTGGATATTTCACAGGGCGCTCCTTCTCTCATCGATCGCCATCGTCGTGTTACAATTCCATTGACAACAACTTCATCACCAGGTTTTACACACTCTAGTAAATCATCTTCAATAGAAACACAAATCGATTTACGCATAACACCAACTGTCAGACAACCGAATTGTTCATGTACTCTAATTTCTTGATAATTTTTAGCCGAAAACTGTGATCCTATTGATAAACGTTTTAAATTCATACTGGAACATGGTTGTGATGTGGTTTGACGTTTAGGACAAAAACGTGGTGGTTTAATAGTATATTGATTTTCATAATTAGCTAATACAGTGAACATGTGTCCACATTGTTGACATAGATACTTTGCTTCACCTTCAATAATTTGGATAGGACCAACACGACTGACAATAGCTCTTAACGCGATAAATTTTCCGATATCATTTGATGTTGGTATATGATTTTTATACACTTCTGGTATAATCGGTAGTGCTGTTAAACGGATGTGTACTTTTGATTTGTTCAAAGATGATTGTTCACATTGACTTTTATTGATCTCTTCCAGCTGATTGGATTGTAAAACTTGACAAACACTTTGATTCAGTAGACTGAGTGTTTCATTAGGTTTAGATAGCAAAAGTTCTGAAAAGATACTATTAAATTCACAGAGATTATTGAAATGAACAATAATAGATTGATGAGGTTCTGAGTTCAGTAGGGATATTCGATAGATATCACTTCGATGTTCACGAAGTAAATATTCAGAGAATAAAGATATAATAGATTCATTTTTTAAAGACATGTTTGATGATAAATATTTAAATATAAATCATTAAGTAAAGCGAAATAATTCACTCTATTCAATCAATGAAACTGGATCTCAGATGATGACGGGACCTGAAATATATATATAAAAAATGAAAATAATCACTTTTCCGGGGTTGTAAGGATATTAATTAAACTTTAATGAACATATCGTCACGAACTGATATCAATTTGACAATTATAGGAAGAATTCCCAGACCAGTGGTCTTTACTATTTAGGCAGTTAGGCGGATATTCACCAGTGACGGTGGCAATATATCGCGAAATAGCAGAAGTTAATAGTCACGAGTTACTAAATTCGAAACAGGTGACTAAATAGTCAACGGACTGGACTCGTAACTTGAACGTTTTGGGTATATTCCCTACAGGGATTACAAGTGAAAACCTCTAGAGTCCGAAAATAAGATGAAAAAGAGCTCGTGTCAGCTAGCACGAAACCTTGGTCCAAGGCTTCCTGCTGATTGCCTCCAACTATCTAATATCATCAACAGAGCTCCATTATAGATAAGATTTTATTTTGATATATCAGTGTTATACAGTAATATTAACTGATGATAACGTTTCGAGCACAATTTATTGCTGCTCATAATCATATCAAGTCACTCGCACAACTTTTTACTTCATTTATATACATGAGTGAAATTGATGATTAGACATTTGAATAAAAATCAATATAGGATAATGTACATTCAGAAATAACGTCATCAGTTAATATTACTGTGTAACACTGTGATTTATCAAAATAAAATCTTATCTATAATGGAGTTATACTTTACCAGTGCCTAAGTTTTATACTTATATCAAACGAAAAAAGCGGTCTAGTGCACTATGAATTCCAGGGACTCTCTAATTGATATTGATTCTTGAGGAAATATATATTGAAAATAGAAATAAACTAATTTTACGATAAAATTACTGTGAGACAGTAAGCAAGGAATATTTTTGTGTCTACATACATGTTCAGACACATTGAGAAATTATCCTGCTCATACGGCCAATAGTGAAACTCTGAAGTTAAGCAGTGGGCTTTCACTGAAGTGCGTGTATGTCATCAGTTAGCAATGAACATCAGCCTGCAAGAATAAACTATGAGGAATATTTACAGTAAGGTGATTAATTACAACACTACGCTGCTGAGTCATTAAAGAAAATAAGGCTTGAAAGTGGAAATCCTATGCATTTATGACAAAATAAGTTGTCAAGGATGAAAATAACCAGGTATCCATACCGACCTTTTAGTTACTAAGTGCTTACAAACATACCATTCAAAATTAGAAACGCAAACACAGGACCATTAGGCTTCGCAATACAATACCTAGCAGCACCATAAAAAAGAAAAGTCGTACCAAAACTGGAATTGCGAAAACATTTTAATATGCAAAAACTAAGCAATTAGTAACGCCGTTTGTGTGACAAGTTTTGACAGTAAGCAGGATCCCACGCCGAATGCATCATGCAGGCTTTTTTAACGGTAGGCACAACAATAACTTCAACCCACATTGATACAGCATTCTCGTTTTCGCACACTTTGCTAAACTATCCAGTAATTTTCATAACTACAGTCGCCTTAACCCTTACCAACATTTAACTGCAAACCAACATTAATGAACTTATTATGCAGCTCACGGCATTATAAATTGATTCACAGGTTAGTCAATTCTGATGAGAAATCCTTAATGTTCTGGAATCCACTGGGTTGTCTGTTTTGTATGTTCCGAAAGGGAGTGTAATACACTGATTAGAGTACAAATATTTCAACAATAACGCCTAGTTGGTCATTTAGATTCTTAAAAATCATCCTATACCATTTACATCTGCCTGATGAAGCAAGACGACTTCTGCATATGCCGTGATAAATTCCGTTAAGGTCTGTGTTCCACAACAGTGAGTAGAACTTTGCTGAAGCTGACTGGATAGGACTAAATGTCATAAATGTTGAACGTAATGTTTGACCATGGACGTCTCCAAGCTTACAAAAACCCCAATACATACTATGCTACATGTCAGAATATGAAATTATTCCGCTTAAATACACTGACCCACCTATACCGGTTTACCTGCACTCGTAATTATAAATGCTACAATAGGCATCTCCCAAGTTTCGAGCAACTTTGAAAAAGTAGGACAAGTAAGGTCAGGGTAATTGTAGTTCGAACAAACAAAAACAATACTGTGTCAAATTATTTCTTTCATTACTCGTAACAACTGTCTTTGTGTGTTCCTTCTTGTTCATAAGATTAAAATCAATTCGAAAAATTACTGTGTGCTACCTAATTCCTTCTTAAGCTAGAAAAAACATTTGGAGTTGCCTGAGTGTGGTAATAATATGCATCTCTCCTACCTAATACTCAGTTTACATTAGGTAGACATATCGCTTCAAGTATGAAGGCGGGTTCTAATTTATCAACTAGATTCAAAATTAATAAATGCATACACAATACAATACAATACAGGCCTATTAGTCTCACCAGCACTTCAATCAAGACACCGAAAAGAATCGTCAAGAAAAGCATCATGGCATACCTGGAAAACAACAAAATAATATCCAGAGCTCGGCAAGGCTTCCAAAGAAACCCCTCATGCCTGTCAAATCTCCTCAATGAGAGAGAAACCTGGGTCGGATCATGAAACAACAGAAGACCCGTTGACGTCGTCTTCACACACTTCAGTAATGCCTTTGATAAAGTTCCTCATAAAAGACCACTCTTGAAGTTGGAAAGTCTTGGTATCAAAGGCAGATTACTAAAGTGGCTAAAGGAATTCCTCATAGATAGAAGGCAGAGGGTTAGGATCAGCTCGAAACTCTCCTCTTGGACAGCAGTGCGTTTCGGGGTGCCACAAGACACGGTACTCGGACCCCTCCTATTTATTGTGTATATCAATGATTTATCTCGGCTAATGGATTCCCCTATGGTCCTATACGCAGATGACTTAAAAATATTCAGAAAGCTGAAGGGCGACAGCGATACGTTCATGTTGCGAGAGGACCTCAACAAATTGTCATAGTGGTCCAGAGAATTGATGCGAAATGTGCAACCATGCACATCGGACAAGTAGACACCAGCTCCTACGAACAAGGGTGGGGGTAACACTTCCATCAGTTCAGACTCACTTGGACTTAGGTGTCACAGTTAGCCACGATTTAAAAACTGCAGCACACTGTCGCGCGGTTGCTACACGTAGTTTCAGGTCCTTATGGGTAATTCGCAGAGCCTTTACTAGAATCATCAGAGGTATATTCACCTTCTTATATACATCTCTGATGAGGTCAAGACTAGAAAACTGCATCCAGGCAGTTAGTCCTTGTCTTAAAGAAGACTCGCAAATTTTAGAAAGGGTTCAAAGGAAGGCAACACATATGGTCCTCAGCATGACTAACTTATCAAACGAGGGAAGACTAGACAGTTTCAATCTCCTCTCTCTGCATACTGTAGGCAGAGAGGACATTTGATCACAATGTTTAAAATTTTAAATAATGACTACGGACCTGGCCTATTGTCTCTTTTCCTCCCCACCAAGTCGGAACACCTTAGAGGACATAGCAGGAGAGCTCAAAAGTCAAGAATAAATCACATTGCTGTTGAGTACTGATTCCCACACCTAGTCATAAACTCTTGGAACCGACTCCCAGAAGGAGTGGTGTTTGCAACCTAAACTGATTTATTCAAGAAGGGTTTGGACTACCACAGAAATTTACTCGAAAGTAATTAACATAGGCTCCCAGCCAATAAATCTGAATCTGAAATTTGAGGTCCGAACCCATTATTTGTTTAATGGTGACTGCCAGTAGAATCCAGGAACACAGACACAAGTCACATTTGGAAAACTATCACCTGCTAGACTTTCAGATACATCTAGTCGATGGTGTTCAAACAGGAAGGAACATGCTCCCAGATTCCACTACTAGACACTAGCAACCTCAAGGTGTCGTCCCAGAGACTATACTTACAGGTGGGGACGAAGAATTTTGGTGCACCATAGAAAACAACACAAAATTCACAATTATTTGAGTGGAAAATCGAAAATTATCCTTCCCAATGTTCTGAGGTTGAGTATCAGAAGGCAATGCACCTGCTGAGATGTTACGGAGTTGGGAAACTCTGAATCACTAACAGAGAGGGATCCAAAGATCAATTCCCTATCACTGCTATACTGCTCATGGTGTTTGAACTTACATAACGTACCACCGGCATCTTGCATGTCGCAGTGTGAAGCTGGCGCAAGTTTGGTAGTAAACAGATACCCAAATTATCGGCTTACTCTTCCCATCCTTCAACGTTGAGTGCTAACTTTACTGGTAGTGTCAGCTGGTTAAGCTGAGTGGCTGAGCATCCTCTGTATTTACGTACCGTCGGTTTACATTCGGTTGTTTACTCTGTTTTTGCTTTTTAATTGTTTTCTGATCATATCGACAAAGTACCTCAGATGTGGAAGATACAAAAGCGCACCATGAGATAACCGTATCTGAGGTTCTCGCTGACACCCTTATCCCCCGAACAGGCTAGACTTCGACCAACTTTCATCCAATTTAAGTGAGTTTGTTTCATTCTGTGCTAGTTTATTTCATATACTCTTTTTTAAAACACTTTAACCACACCTTACCAGAGTCTAACTGAAATAGATAGAACAATAAACCAGTTTGATCTGAAAATGAAAAATCATGGTTTATATACGCTGAGGCTGATTTTCATGAGTACATAATAACTGGTCTCAGTTCCCGACTCTGATATTCGTGTCATGTACTTTGGAAGTCGAAAGCGTGAGTCACCTCTTGCATATTAGTTGCAGAGGTAAATAATCCTCACGAAACGCTTGAAGTGGCAATCCAAAGGATAAGTGATCTGTCTGAAAGCTCACAAATAGGTGCACTTTTCTTAGTGTGAAGATAGGGAATGATTCAGTTTTACATATATCTTTCGGTCATTGAGTATGTCATTACAGACTATTAGACAGCATCTCAGCTGAACGAACCCCTCACAATTTCTCGCCGTTGACAGGAAAACTCATCGTGTGACCGTTCAAACCACATTAATGCAAGGGCCCAAGCTGCTGCTAGTAACACAGTATCTATAGCCACGTTTGAAAATGTCCCATGTGACCACGTAGTTATGGCAGCAATATCAGGACCAAACAACCTTTCTAGCGCCTGGCAAAGAGGACCAGTGCCTGCGATAGTGGTGGTCTGCTGTGTACCACAGTCATCTTTACCAGGACCCACTAACGCATTGATACAGGTGAAGAGACTGGTGCTCTCCGTTCAACAGCGAGAGGCTACCGGAAGATTTGCATTGCTAACTTTCAGGCTGCGAGTGGGAAATCCTCTGTGACATTCCGGAGAAAGTGTGGATTTGCTTACTAAACGACTTCATGATGACTGCCATAGTCAGGGACTTACTAAGTTATCACAGACTACTCGTATATGATTTCCACTGTTGACCGCTAGACAGTACCACCAAACCACCTGTTAAGGGAACCACCTGCAAGGATCAGTGGTCGTCGTTCGCCGAAAAGAAACCTTTAGTTTATCCAACTTTCCAGCTGATTGTCAATAAGCACCTGGAACTGAGTTGTCCCAGAAATGATTTGTCGTGCATAAGAGCCACGATATGCAACACACCCCAGGAAATGGACAGCGTTCAACCTCGAAAGTCTGGCGAGTCCTTCTGGACAAGTTCAGTATCGCTAAGAACAGACCTAACCACATGTTGTATTTCATCACTGTTAGACCGTCAGATAGGCGACTGACAACCATCGGAGCACAGCAATAAAGGTCCGAATGATTGGTGTTTGCCAACAAATCATGCAAGCCAAAACTCTCCTGCACCCATGTTCTTTGTAGGAATAAAAAGTGTGACCCGAACAGATTTTCATTAAAAAATAGACTGTCAGATATACCGCAAGATTTATTGTTCAATTTAACAAGTTGCATCAAGCAATTATAATACAAACCTTCTATTTTGAGGTTATCTAGAGTATGAACATCAAAAATGCCGTGGCGGAAAACTAAATAACTCACAGTTGATAAACATGTCCACTCAAACAACAATTATACAGTGGGCCAAAAACAACAACAAGTAGGCTGATTTAAACAAGAATGAAAATGATATATTAAGTACAACTTTGTATATAAAGGCAGAATATCAGATGTGACGCTGCTAGTCAAAACAACGTTAGTTTCTGTTAACAACAGTGTGAGGAATAATTTCTGTAGCTACAACATAACTCTCCAAAACTCAGATTTCAAGACAAGCTGTATTAAAAGATGGATGGTAAGTCGAAGATTTATTGGTCAACTGAGTGTAAGCCAGTATAGCAAACTAATTACACAGCAGTGTCAACATGCGATTCACAGTTGGTTACTGCCAATACTCCAAAAGAGCCTACAAATAATGTTAGTATAAAATACATTAATACTCCTGGCTATGTCGCATCAGTCTTCCATCAATGAGCAAACGTCTAAGTCCCGAGAAAGACTGTTCCTTGCAACGAACAGAAAACTGGCTCGAATAAGCAAGTTCACTGAATTTCCACTCAGTGTTCGGCATCACTGACAGTTTCTTCGCCCAGCAATCAAGCAGAACAATATTTTCAGTAATTTATTCGGTTTTGAAAGCAAATTCTTAAGTAACACAGGCAAATAATAAACTCATACTTGCTGCTTGATTGGTTGTGAAGACTTACAACTACACGTCGGGCAACCACCTAGTCTAGCTAATGTTTTTGACACCTGGGAATCAAACCACTGGGTGTAGAAACCACTCTAATGAGGCCTGTCATCTGTGCTCCCAAAAGATCGACTTTCCAGTCGTTCCTTAGCAGCACTCCCCTAGCCGCCTTCACTTTTGCTTGTCCAACCGAACCACATTTGATGTTTAGCACGTCTCCTTCCTGTATATTCCTACTTATGTTCATACATTTCGTCGTTGTCTTAAAAAACACATTCCTAGAACCAGCGCTTACAAAATACATCCGCCAACTAGTAAGCTTGTCTCCACATTTTGATGAACTTATCATCAAGGTGGCTTACAATAATACCTACTGAGTTGTCCCTTAGCAACATTAGCTTAACAGGTGTTAGCACTT